GTGATTTAACACTTACAGTGACAGTGATGTGATGTTGGCAGAGGCTCCTCCAAGGAAGGGGAGGACTGTCAGTTCATTGTAGTTCATTAAACTGAAATACAATTTTAGAACAGATCACATTATTGAACAAAATGGCTGTGTATTATTTTTCATTTTGTGACAGTAACAATCCTTGTTTCATTATAAGTAGTCAAGTTTGAATGTGCATTAGAACTACTGTATAAATATTACAGGATACAGTACATGGACAAAACATTTATACTTTGACTGGGTGGACAGTATTTACCATTGTAGCTCACTAGCAATAATACACTTTTCACTTAGTATTCACACGTATCACGTATTACTTTCCATATACCAAGATAAGATAAGAAAACCTTTATTAGTCTCGCAATGGAGAAATTCCCAATTCACAGCAGCAAAGTTATGAATGGAAGAAGTAGAACAACAAAATATAGGAGCTGCTGGAAAGGCAGCCACTCACGCGGCGCCATCTTGAAGTCAAAATAACAAAAATAACACAGAACACATAGGACGCAGACAGTCGTGCAATCTTCACCACTTTCCTGCATACACTTTGTTGTCTGAAGCAGTTATAGATGAAAGAGGAGAGGATGAAAAACATGCTATTTTTTTAACTACATGTACATTTCTTTCAGTGCCTCCTCATTGCTGCTGTTTGTGACTGTACATTGTCATTGTTCTTTAGCAGATATGGGCAAACCGGGTCCTCGAGGGCCAATATTCTGTTGTGGCCCTGTTGAAGGAAGGAACCATCAATAACATGTAAGATAGCGTCCCTCAAGGACCAGAATTGTCCATGCCTGTGCTTTTGTATATCATCACTAGAAGCTTTATGTGTGCATATTGCAGCTGTGACAACTTTACTTCCTCAAGGAAAGAATAACGTATCGCTCTTTCTAATGACATATCTATCCATTCATCTATCTAAATTCCTAATTACAATACAGTATATATTTTGTTTGATGCCCCGTCAAACAAAAATAACCAGCATCTGTCAATATGCCAACTGCAACCACAATATTTAACATGCTGCTAAACTTGTTAGACTTAAACAGGTTTTGTGTACCTCAGGGCTACACTTTTATAAAGTTAGTTGTTCTTGAGTATCTTGCTCTTTTTATTAAAACGAACTCATACACAATTAAAGGGTACTTTACATACCAAAAAAGATTCTAAATAAGAGCGGTTCAGTGTCAAGTGCTGTGACGTTTCCTTGAGCAACTTCAGCACATGCATGCTAACTTAAACTTGGCTACCCACTTACACTTGGGTTATCCCCAACGGTGACTCCAAGGCAGCCATCGAGGGCCGTCTCCTGTTGCAATCCAAAACACGGAGCTCGTCCGGTCCCGTGGAGCACGAGCAAGGAGCCGGACAGGTCTCGAGGCCCCAGGCACTCGCACCGAGAAACACGAAGACCAAGGCCGAGGGAAGGGGCCAACCTTCCGCCATTTTAAATGTCTTCCCGCAGGAGTAGCTGTGTAGCTATGTGGCTAACTCGCTTCGGACGTTCACACTTTCACTATTTGTCCGTCGAGCTGTTCCCGCAACTTGAAGTCGGTCAAGCAGAAACACTACAATCGGAGGTAGGGACACTATCCCTTTTCCAAACAGAGCGACTAATCGGGGTTACGGCCCAGTTTGAGCGCAGCATCTTGGCAGAGATTCTTCCTTTTCTTCTTCCCCGTGCCTGGAATTCCTTCCGCTGCAACCTGGACAGACGACCCACAAACGCCACTTTCTCCAGCGCCGCGTTTACTTCCACCCCATGTGTGCGTTCGGCTGGAACGAGCCGTTTGAGAAGTCCCAAAATGTTCACGCGGGTGGTTTAAAAGGATTTGAAATTACCTCACCACCTCTGCGTGTCTTGATGAAACAACAAAAGCGTTTGTTGATGACATGGATACTCTCGGTCCCGCCCATTTTTAAGCAAGAAGAGGCAATTCTATTGGTCGTGGTGCAAGTTTGTCAAACTAGTACGTGAATGTGACTGGCTCTCACAACAAAACAGGGTTTTGCAGTCGAATTAATAATCTAAACAAGAAGTTTTCCAAATGGAAAGGAGCATTTTAAAGTTGGCCTTTTAAAATTTTCCAGTTCATCATTCGTCATCCGTGAGTGACCTGGATACCCATCTGTTATCGCCAATCCGTCTTTTTTTCCAAAACAAACCGAACTGTAATCTTTCATCTGACAGTCCGCCATGTTATTTTAACCGTGCTTTGGCGATCAACCAGTCCATCAGTCACTTTGTCAGTCCGTCCGTCAATCAATTCCTACCCACATGCCATAGTCCAACAGATGAAAAATCCAACGTGATTAAAAGGATAAATGGAGTGCCCTGTCTATCAGTGTACAGTATCCACATCACACAGCGGTTGCCTAAACACACATAACTCACATATATTTCACATACACCATGGTGTGACAGTAATGATTTTGGTTGAAATCGACTGTCAGAATAAAATACTCCTCACTTAAAGCAAACTTTCTTGAAGTTGGTATTCACATATGTTTACAACTCTTTAAATACAAAGTTATTCAGAATCAATTGTTGCAGAGTTTCAAGGGGTCTAAGAATAATTAAAACATTTGAAAATAACAAAAAAAAAATAAGAGGTGTCAGAAATTCCCCTTTAATTTGGGGGTGGCCAGAAAGTGACAAGGGGTGGGCATTGCCACCTGTGGCCACTAGGTAGCTCTGCCCCTGAGGTATGAGCGTCTGTGCTCCACCTACACCTAGAAAAACAGGCTCTCCACACATAAGCAGTTAACAGTCTGCCAAAAAGCAGCAACTACCAGCTATGTCTCAACAAACCTCTGCAATTGATTGTTTTAACATGAAGACAGATTATCAACGCACTTTTCGTTTAGACGCAAAAAGCTCCCAGAAAGTGCTCTACGTGCAGGGGACGACTTTGAAGGCAAACCTGCGCAGGTAAGCAGCAGGTGTGAATGTGGATCACATGTTGCTTAGCTGACATATGTCTCATGAAAATGTAATGCTTTCTGCATTGTTTTCAATGGTGATTTTTTTTTTTTAAGATTTTATTCTCCCCAACATCCTCCAAGTTTACAGTAGTCCTGTACTGTATTGAAACTTGTCGCTATTCTATGTGCATGCGCAGAGATACATTATTCATACTGGCTAATGTTCTATTATTTAAAAGTAAACTCCACAATGACGGCAAAAGACCTTGTGAGTCATCCTATTTATTTTGGGCCTGTTTGGTTTCTTTTTCAATTTATGTAACTTGTTGCTTGGCAAAGGTTGGGCTTAAAAAAATAAATAAATAAAAAAAAGAGACTTGCACCAATACCAGTATTAGTATCAGTCTTGATACAGTATGTCTTTACTTATAAAAATGCTCCGATACTATTACATTGATACTACTTTATGAGCACGTTATACACGAATGACAATACTTTTGTTAGCTGAATACAAACAATGCTATGCAAGATGGAAGACAAACTCTGCTTAGGTAGCGATGGAGGCCACCGCCCTGTAACGTTTTTCTTCATCTCTTATCTACTTCATGTACTCCTTTTAAATAGTGCCCACTAGTGTTCAAACTGTGACATCACATACAGTAATTGAAATGAGAAATGTGTGAAAAGACATAAGTCTCAATAATGACAGTTTGTCACTTTAAAAACTTATTTTTTTGTGAAAATTATGCTGTGTCCAAGAATTGTTTTTCTGTTTATAAATGATATTTCGTTGAAATAATCCTTTTTAACACATTTTCATCGCAATTGTAAGAGGTCACGGTATTATGAAGTATTGGTACTCAATATCAGCAAATCTTCTAATATATTCATACGTAGTCAGGTGTCGGCACAAACAAAAATAAATAAACTGCTCCATGGCACTGATGCCAAGCAGAGCAGAGAAAGTATGGGGAAGTAATGGCAGCCCCAGATTGTTGATTAGCATTTGCTAAATTAGGTTTATTTGGGGGGTGGGGTGTCGGGGGAACCCATCCTTTGTTATCTGCTGAAAAACTCACCTATTTTCTGATTTGTGCATAGGTCATAGCCATACCTGTCAACTTTTCAGAGCGCCAACCTGTATAAACTACCAAAAAAATCCTTATAAAGAGCAAAAAATCCTTATAATATACCAAAGCATTTTATATGTCAAAATAATGGCAGAAAAAAACCCATGAAATATGAATGATATATTTGTTTCCTTGTAGAACTTGCTTGTACACTACCGAAGTATGCAATGAATACTCTGCTGTTTTCAACTAGGAACCACGTGATTTACTGGAAAGTTACCGGAAATGAAAGCATTCGAGTAGACTAGCACCATTCTGGGCAAAAGCAAACGGAACTCCCTGTTAGGGGGGAAGAAAAAAAAAAAAACGGAAATTTTCAGAATCCGTATGATTTGTGCGATATGGCCATATACGTAAGATTCACCACAAAATCCGTATGAACTATGGCTAAACCGTATGAGTTGACAGGTATGCATAGCACTAGAAGTATTAAATCTTGACATCTTGGCGTCATGATATTATATGTTGAAGCGAAATGAGAAATTTCATTTCCATAAAAGGAGCGCTTTATGGGCATCATCATGTCATCAACCCGTTGTCTTATCAGTTATCATGGCTTACACAGGAAGCATGTGAACCTGTTTTGTCAATTGATCTTCCCTGTATAGCAGATGACTCAATCACTGTTCTTAACACCAACTGAAACTCTACCCAGAAATACATGTTTGTTTGGGTTTTTTCAACCTGTTTGTTTGTTTGTTTGTTTGTTTGTTTGTCTGTTTGTTTTTTTCTGTGACTTTCTGAAAATGGGAGGGTGCCAGAGACCCACTAAGGCCAAATAACCACTGGACCTAAATATTCGTAAATGCTGGAATTTGCACAAATACACAATAAATAAACACTTAACGCACATCACATTAATATTCAACTGAAGTGCAGCTTGGGGAAAAAAAATACTCATGATTGATACAAAGTGAATGAGAGGATAGAAGAAAAAGAGATGCGGGTGGGAGGTGGCCGGTGGTGGGGGTGGACGGTGGCTGGGCTATCATATAACCAAGTGGGTGGAGTCCATTCCACATGTCCAGCCAATCACAGTCCAGGGTTTAACTACAGGCTTGTCCCAGCTTTTACTAGTCACTTGTTGTTAAGGCCAGGGGTCGTTGGTCCAGTCCAAGGAGAGCTACCTGGACTGAGTGCACCGGCAGGAGCCATGATTCGCCCCCGCACTCTTAGAGTAGATTATGATAAAACTGCAAACGTCGTATGCGTGGTTGGGTCTGCACTTCATGTGGCCCTGAACAGGTAGGTCAGAGAAAAAAAAATCTCCAAATAATCAGCTCTCTTGACATTTCAAATGAGAAATGCACACTTTAGGTACCCCTGGACACATGATGAGATCCTTTCCAAGAGCTGGGTGTGTCTATACAAAGATTATAATACTCTTATTATATTTGTTTTCTGTGGGCGGGGGATGGGGGGGGGTTATTTTTTGAAGAATGTGTTTGATGCTGTGTTGTAGTGTGCATACCCTATCACGTGGGAACTGTTGTATTTTGGTTTCCTAGCGACATGTGCAGTTCAAAAACTAACATAGCAATCATCTCAATGAATTGTATAAACTTAGGCCCATTAAACATGGGAAATGCTTTCTAGGAGGACAATTCCTCCCTAATTTCTACATTCAAAATACTTTCTCATGTAATATTCACTTATATTCATTTTTTGAAGTCATTTAAAAACTTGCAAATCAATTTTTTTGTACTTGAAGTACAGAAATGAACTTTTCTACAATACTCTAATTCATTGAGATACACCTGTCAGAATACACTTAAATGAGTACATCTATGAGATATCCTCTTGTTTTTGATATGGGTGTCATTTAAACTCTGTACCTATTGCTGTGGGCACTATCAAAAGTGGTCTAAAGCCTTCTCTAAAAATGCCGTTTTAAAGGGAGGATATGACATACTTGTTTCTTATTTTTGCTATCAACATGGAATGCGCAACTACAAGTCAATATGCAGATGCTGCTGCTGGCAACACAGTCAAACAGGCCGTCTATTGTTACAGTGCAAACACGAGAGACTTTGTTGTCGCATAGAAATGCATCTGCCGTGCCAAACGCCAGCCGACGCAGCACATCCGAGCCGAGACTGGATTACCCAGCGAATGCAAAACGGTTCACTCATGTGAAGGGCCAGCCACTGAAATATATTTCTCTCCAAGTGTGTCGCTTGCCACTGCCACTGGGCCTGCGTGTCCACACGATGCACAGCAAGAATGCTACAAGCAAGCGAGGGCATGTTTTTTTTTTTTTTGTAATTCCCACCGCAAAACGGCTGCTCCAGGAAATGAGGGAGGAGATGGTGTTGGGACGATAGTGTCTGTTGTGCAAACAACGAGGCCCTGAAGGCACCTTGAATCAGGTTTCGCAAGAGCGAATTCAGTTAAACACATTTGTTTACTCTTGATTGCCTTGTGGTCTCTTCACAATGTGTATGTTAGGTCGTACGTAAACCTCCTGCCATCCACAAAATTACTTGCACACATGTTGAATTAGAGCCAATCGTGTCAAAAATAGAGGCAAATTATGCTTTGGATTGGCATGTAATTGTTTAGGCCTCGAGCATCAGGTGGTCCAAGGGCAAGTTTTGGATTCGCTTTAATTATTATTATTATTTTTGAATTAAAAACATTTGCGTGGACTTCAATAATGCCAAAAATAACTGTTGGCAAAATAAAATTGTACATTCGTTCATTCATTTTCCGATCCGCTCATCCTCACAAGTGTCGCAAGGGGTGCTTGAGCCTATCCTAGCCATCTTCGGGCAATAGGCGGGGGACACCCTGAACCGGATGCCAGCCAATCGCAGGGTACACAGAGACCAACAACCATCCGCACTCACAGTCACACTTAGGGACAATTTTGAGTGTTCACTAAGCGCGCCATGCGGTTATAAAGTAATCCAGCAATGTTGTAAAAAGTCAAGTCTTTATTCCAAAAACTAGAGAAGCAAACAGTGAAATACCGAAACGCAAAAACTGGGGGACAAAACACAGGAAATAATGAACCAAAAGCTATGGTGCAAAGGAAAAGAAATAAAAACACGGCAATAAAAGGCGAAGGGGGAGCAGGGAGCTTTGCCAAGAAACACGCCCAAACCTCACAGAAAAAGGAGTGTGAAAATAAAGGCCCAACAAGGACTGAATCATAATCATGAGAGAGGCAGGATGCAGATGGTAATAGACTCACACAAACTAACAAAAGGAGGAGAACCTTCGCCCACACCGAATACGGTGTGGGCGAAGGTCTGAAGACTGAAATCTGATCATTAGAGGAAAAGAAATAAAAACACGGCAATAAAAGGTGAAGCGGGAGCAGGGAGCTTTGCCAAGAAACACACCTAAACCTCACAGAAAAAGGAGTGTGAAAATAAAGGCCCAACAAGGACTGAATCATAATCATTAGCGAGGCAGGATGCATACGGTAATTGACTCACACAAACTAAAAAAAGGAGCTATTTGGCGTGGGCGAAGGTCTGAAGACTGAAATCTGATCATTACCAATAGCTTCCAGGTAACCCTGGCTCGCGCCACTGCACCATTTGCGGAAATCAAAGGGAAAAAAAAAACCACAACAGTCAACTGACCTTCAATACGATATGATAGGGACTGACAATGAGCCTTTGAACTCGGATGTCCGAGTTGCTAGTCAGAAAAAAGGACTCCTTTTATGGTTCCGGACCAGGAGCAGATTCCACAAACCTGGACTGAGTCATAGAAAACAAAAGTCAAGTCTGGTCACTCTTTGAAGTCACCACTCTGCCATTGATTCAAATCCATTTCATATGGTTTATCGATGCCACGTTGTCAAGCCATTTTTATAT